TTTTTTTTTATAAGATTGGTGAAGGGCTTATCCATTTTATTTATTCTTTCAAATACACAACTCTGATTTATTAATTATGTGCATTGTTTTCTTAGCCTCCATTGTGTTAGTTTCTGCTGTGATCTTTATAATTTTGTCCTTTGTATGGGCTTTGGGCTTGACTTGCTCTTCTTTTTCTAGAAGCCTGAGATAGAACATGTGGTTACTTGTGCTCATTTTGTTTTCCTGATGTGAGAATTTACCACTTTAAGTTTCTCTCTTAGGAATGCTTTCATTGTGTCTCAGATTCCAGGATGTTGTATCTGCATTTTAATTTAATTGTAGATATTGTTTATTTTCTTCTTTAATTTCAGGTATGATCCATTGTTATTTAGGAAGGGTGTTATTTAATTTCCATGCATTTATGGAGTTTTTGTGGTTTCTTATGCTGCTAATTTCCAATTTCATTGCACTATGGTCAGATACTATACGTGGGACAGTTTAAATTCTTTTGTATTTATTTAAACATGTTCTATGGGCTAATATAGGGACTATTTTAGAGAACATCCAATGTACTGCTGAGAGGAATGTGTACTCTCATGTTGGGTGGAAAACTCTATACACATCTACTAAGTCCATTTGTTTATAGGTTTGGTTCAGCTCTGATATTTCTTTGTCGGTTTCTTGTCTGGTAGATCTATCTATTTGTGACAGTAGGGTATTAAGTTCCCCTATTACAACTGTGCTATTGCTCATCTGACTTTATTTGTTTATTTAACTTTTTTTTTTTTCCTGGAACCAGGGATTGAACTCAGGCCATTGCACTTGCCAGAGAAGCGCTTATTCTACTGAGCCATCTCCCCGGCCCTATTTAAAAATTAAAAAAAAAAAACCAACTTAATTTATTTGGTACAGCATGTAGCTACTCAGCTTGGACTCATAGTGATCCTCTTGTCTCAGCCTCCCCAGCACTGGGATTACAGGTATGTGCCACCACACCTGGTTTCAGTGGCTGGTATGGAGTGCCAGGGGTTCCAGGGCTGGCATGGTATGCAGTACTGGGGATCAAAACTGGGTCCTTGTGCTTGCCAGGGAGGCACTTAGACAATTAGGCTATCTCCCCAGCCCTCATTTGACTTTTTATGTTTGTTAATATTTGTCTTATATAGTTGTGTAATTTGTTCCTGTATTTGGTGTATACATATTTATGATTGTTATTTCCTCCTCTGGAAGGAGGGACAAGTATGTAATGACCTTCTTTATCTCTTTCAATCACTCTTAGTTTGAAATTTTCAGTGTCTGCGAACAGAATAGTTACCTTTACTTTTTTAGGGGGTTGGAGTTCCTATTGTGTGGAGTTTGTTTCCATCCTTTGATTTTTAGCCCTGAATTTTTTTGAGTTAAATGTGTTTCTTATATACAGCATATTGTTGGAGCATATTTCTTGATCTGTTCTGTCAGTCTATTTCCTTTGACTGGTGAATTGAGGCTATTCACATGGGTGGTAATAACTGATATGTACTGGCCTTGCTGTTATTTTCCTGATGTTGGTTTTCTACTATTCTTCTCTGTTTAATTGCTTGCCCTGCTATGTAGATTCTTTCTGTTGTTCTTGGAATTGTAGTCATTTTTAATTTCTTTCTAGAATATCCTTTAGTACCCATTGCAGGGTTGGTTTGGTGGTCATGATTTTCTTTAGTTGTACGTTGTCATGGAAATATTTTATTTAGCCATTAATTTTAAAGGATAGTTTTACAGGGTACATCAATCTGGTGTGAAAGTTAATTTCTTTTACGACTTGAAATATTTCACTTTAAGCTCTTCTTGACTTAAGCATTTGTGTTGAGAAGTCTGCTGTGATTCTGACTGGCTTTCTTTTAGAGATGATCTGCTTTTTTTCTAACAACTTTTGATATTCTTGTCTTTCTTTCTTTCTTTCTTTCTTTCTTTCTTTCTTTCTTTCTTTCTT